TTTGTTCCGTGTTGTTCTCGCGTTCCGTTTTCGGTGTCGTTCCGTGCTGCTGTTTGTGATCGTTTTCCGCTTTCGCTTGCTTTCCTCCATGCTCGGTATGTCTTCGCTCTGCCCTGCTGCTGCGAAACCTCATCCAGACCAACACGGCCCATGAGGTCGCCGAAACACCGCTCGGCTCGAGCCCTGGGGCAGAGACGCTCGGGGCACGCAAACCTCGGGGCTGGCCCCTCCTGGGCTCCGGGCTCTGCCCGGGAAGCACGTCGCCTTCGCCACGCGCGACGCGCGCCCCCGAAGCCAGCTCTGCTGCTGCTTGGGGGAGGGGCGGGCGGTCGTCATCCTGCTCGTTCTCACTGTCATGCTCTCCCTTCTCCTGTCTCCTGTCCCTCCTTCCCCTCGTCCCTGGGGAATGGTAGAATTATGTCGGGCATGTCCCCCCTACAGGCGGCTTTCGGGCGAAACGAAACTGCTTGCAAAATGCCCAAACGAAGTTAAACATGGTAGAAAGAATCGTCCCCAGACGATTTTGTGACTATCTTTGGAAATCCCTCCTGCAGAGGGACAGGCCCGACTTCGTCATGGTAGAGGGAAGAGAGAGAGAGATATCGGCTGCACGCATCTCGCCATCGCTCGGACGCCCATTCCCTGTGTCTGTTGGTCGGTTTCGTGCGTGGTCTTTTCGCCAAATGATCAAGGATGCTCCTCGATGGCCCTCGCCGACAAAAAAATGCACACGTCCGAGCGATGCCAGGGCATAAGCGACCCTGGGCAAGAGAGCGACCTTCGGCGCGCGGCTTTTTAGGGGGCCGCGGAGGGACCCGATGCCGCCGCGCAGGACACCACTGGGCGCACCGTGTCCCGCGATCGCGGGGCCCCCGTGCGAACACCTGGCCATCGCTCGGACGTCCATTTCCTGTGCTTTTTTAGGTTTCGTGCGTGGTTTTTTTCGCGAAATGATCAAGGATGCTCCTCGATAAGGATGCTCCTCGATGGTCCTCGCCGAAGGAAAACTGCACACGTCCGAGCGATGCCAAGACATGAGGAACTTTCGACCACGGGGCCACCCCCCGCTGCGGCAGCTGGCACTGGCCTCGCTTCCAGGGCGCCTGCGCCGACGCGCGTTGGCCAGCATCGTAAAACTTGACATCTGGAACCCACTGCTGTGGGGGGATTGGGGTCGGTTTCCCACTGCTCACAGTGGGCCCGCGCCAAAGGTCACTCCGGCGAAGGGCAATTCTCACGCTGAGCACCGAAAGTCGGGTCGGGCGAAAGGGGGGGATAGCAAAGGGGGGGTTTGAGAATCAGCTCACGTAGCTGATTTTCCCGGCGCCTCCCGGCGCCAGGAGGCGCCCAGATACCGAGGAATGGGCCCCTCGGTCGGGCCGAAACCAGCTGCATGTAGCAGATTTCGTACCCCCCCCCTTCCCAATCCCCCCCCCTTTCGCCCGGCCCGATCACAGTGGGCCCGCGCCAGAGGTCACTCAGGCGAAGGGCAATTCTCACGTTGAGCACCGAATTCTGCGGCCCCTTTAGTAAAACGTGGTTTAGTGAAAACGACCTGAGGCCCAAACCTGGCGGGAACAGGCCTGGAAAATAACGGCCACGGCGCCCTCTCGAGAACCGAAAACGGACAATTCACTGATCGACGTGTCACTGTTGGGGGTTCTGTCCACCCCCGATGAGCACCGAGAGGTGCCATCCTCCCGGGGTGCGTTCCGACCAGAATCTCGAGGCGAAGGCAGCGGTGGCGACGAGGGCCACCCGGGAAGCCCGAAAGGGGGGGAAAGGCGAAGGAATGCTTGCGGCATCGGTCGCTTCTCCTCCTCCTCCTCCTCCTCCTTCTCCTCCTCCTCCTCCTCCTCCTCCTCCTCCTCCTCCTCCAGGGCGCCGCCACCGGCGGCCCCCCTTGCGAGAGAGCCCCTCCCGACGCGAAAAACGTGCCCAGAGAGCCCGACGCCGCGAAGGAGTCCAATTTCGGTGGCGTGTTCGCCTCTGCGGAATGCTTACGCGCAGGTGGAAACAAAAGGGCGTACACTTTGTGTTCCGAGCAAGGTCTTTGACCCCCACAAACGAGGGGGTAAAGGGCAGTTTTTAATATCTAGGATTGAAAAACATATAGGAACTTAAATACATGATTAATGCATGAATGAATTTACACATGAACTCATCTTTGTTTTCAATACTAATTGTTTGCATTCTTAATACATGATCCGTACGCGAAGCATGTATTAAAAACGGCACTGTACCTAATCATCTGTCCGGCGGCCCGATTGCAGGACTGGGGTCCCACCAACAGGGGGCACCTGATCCTGTTTGTCCGCGACACCCGCCGCGCAACAACGACGGCGACAGCTACGACTACGACTGCGAGGAGGAGGAGGAGGAGATTTTTGGACCAGATTTTTGGACCAATCCCATTTACAACCGAGACAAAAGGGGGGGGAGCCAAAACCAAAGACGCGGGCAGGGATTGCCAGCAATAGGCTTGACAAGGTTCAGGCCGCCTCGATTCCGTGCCCCGCCGAGCTTTTCGCCCTGGGCGACAGACCCCTCCAGGATTAAGTCGGGCGTGTCCCCCTACAGGAGGATTTTCGACGAAAAGTCAAACATACCCAAAAAATAATCCAAACAATAGTCCAAACATAGCCTGTGGACTATGTGTTGAGTCTTTTTTTGAGCTGTTTGGGGCATTTGTGGGGTATTTGTGATTTTTCGTAAGACACCCCCCTGTGGGGGGACACGCCCGACATAACTAGGGGGCAAACAAACCTACCTCGCTTTTGACCACCCTCGCCTCCAAGAGACACCAAGCGATGCCAAACTACGGCCTGTACTGGTCAGGCCGCTTGACGAGGAGGTGCGTGGTATGGCTTGGTTTTGCCTGGAAGCGAAAGCGGGGTAGGTAATTCACGCTCTGAATAACTCCAGGACGAAGACCAGGTCTTTTTGTTGAGCTTTTTGGGGCATTTGTGGGGTATTTGTGATTTTTCGTAAGAAATCCCCCTGTGGGGGGACACGCCCGACATTCGGGGATGGACAGACCCCCTTCAGTAAAACGTGGTTTAATGAAAACGACCTGAGGCCAAAACCTGGCGGGCGCAAGCCTGGAAAATAACGGCCACGGCGCCATCTCGAGAACCGAAAACGGACAATTCACTCATCGTTGTGTCACTGTTGGGGGTTCTGTCCACCCCCGAGACATAACTTCAGGACGAAGACCAGAAACTCTCCAGGTGGTCGGTACTGCTCGGGCCTCGGCTCGAGGAAGGGGCAGACTCCATGCTCAGAATTTTTGTGGGTTCGGGGGGGGCCTTTTGGCACATTCTGGGCCCTCGCTCTAGGAGGAGGAGGAGGAGGAGGAGGAGGAGGAGGAGGTAGAGGAGGAGGTGGAGGAGGAGGAGGAGGAGGAGGAGGAGTCTCGTCTCGATCCCATGCAGGCAAAGCTTCGTGGAAGTCCAGCACTGCTCTGGGTTGGGGCAACTGTGTGATCCCCTCTCTGGTACAGCAATCTCTCGGGGAGCCTGCCACGTCTCAAGGACGTGTGCGGAATACGCCCCTGTTGGCGCCCGCGCGGGGGGCTCTCGAGTGAGGAGGAGGAGCAAAAATCTGTTAAGATTTGGACCCCAATCAGGCTTTGCAGCTTTGCCTATGCTGCTCTTACTTGCCGGGGATCTTCTGACCCGGGTCGATCCAGACCCAGGTCAGTCAGGCCTTGCAGAATCCAGAACAATCATGCAAGATCCTACGCTCAAACCCGGGTCAATGCGAAGGATCCTGCAAGATCCTGCAGGATCCTGCACCCAAACCCAGGTCAATGCGACCCTGGCCCTGCAGGATCCTACAAGATCGGGCGCGCTGGCTGACCCCCGTTTGCGTTGACCCCCCTCTCAAGGCTCCCGGACTTGTAAAGAGCCGGTGGGTGCCCGGCTTGCCAGGCTGGCGCTCCTCGGGGTTGCTTGGTCTTGTCTCCTTGCCGTGGCGCTGCTCGGGGATGGCCGGTCGTGCTTCCTTACTCTGGGTTTCTTAATAAGCGTGGGGGGCGGGTATCCCCCCGACGGGGGTCAACCTGGCCTCGTCGTCGCGCCGCGACGGGGGCCGGAGCGCCTTCGGCGCGCGGTGGCTACCCGCGACGGGGGCCAATGAGGGGCTGTCGGCGGGGGCGACGCCCCCCCGACGCTTATTCAAAAATCGGAGTACTGTGGCCTTGCCCGGGGTTGGTTGTTTCTTGATTGCATGCCCCAGGTTGCTTCGTCTTGTTGTCTCGTCCTGTCTCTTCACGGCATTCCCCTGGTTGCTTAGTCTTCTTCCAAGCAGCGCAAAGCAACGCCAAGCAAGGCCGAGCAACGCCAAGACAAACAACGCGAAGCAACGACAAACAACGCCAAACAACGCCAATGTTAACCAATTCGTCAAAACAATGAAAAACGCTTCCCTGATTGGAGTTGCGCTGGATTCATGCTTGCTGTACGCTTCTGCCTCGCTTCGGGTCTCCCCGGTGCCTCAGGGGGCCTCTAGGGACCAGAGTTAGGTCGGGCATGTCCTCCTACAGGCGAATTTTGGGAGGAACAATCGAAAATAATCAAATCGACAAATCATCAACAATAAGACAAGAACCGTCCCCAGACAAGCTTCATCATTTTTCAACGCTCCTCCTGTACAGGGACACGCCCGACTCGAAACCAGAGGGCGAAGGGCGCTAGCTGCGCCTAGCCTTCCAGCGGCCCGCCTGGGCAGCCTGTTGGATCCCTGGCGGGGCCCGTCACCATTTTCGGGGTACTGCCATCCCGCATTGGCGACGTCTTCGTACCTTCTGGCGGGGACTGGAATGGGCGAGCGGTGCACGCGAAGCGTCTTGAATGATGGCAGAGCTTCGCACGCAATATCGATGACACGCAGCCGTGGGTCAGGCGGAGGGCCGCTAGCTGCGGCATCTCAGCGTTTCTGGCCAGCTCGGGGCCCCCGAAGCTCCAGGCTCCCTCCGGGGACCACGGGGGAGCGACCCCCTCGCGGAGGCGAGCCGAAGATCCGGGCTTTTGGACCTTGCGTTAAGTCGGGCGTGTCCCCCTACAGGGGGATTACATATATATATATATATATATATATATATATATCTCAAAAAACTCAAACATACTCCCAAATGGTCAACACATGCTATAAAAATAGTCCCCAGACTTTTTTGGGATTATTTTTGAGTGTTCCTCCTGTAGAGGGACAGGTCCGACTTAAACCTTGCTGGCTCTTTCCAAGCCCCGGAGGTTCTCTTGGGGCCTCCGGGGGCCGTGGACGGAGGTGGCAAAGGGGGGGATCCCCAGCTGCATGCACGCGGTGGTCTTCGGGGCACCGACGTGGTCTTCGGTCCAGCGTTCTGGCTGCAGAGAGGGAGGATCAGGACGAGGAGGAAGGAGGAGAAGGCATGATGAAGGCGCCAAGCTGTACCCAGGTAGCGATCCTGGCCAGGCTTGTCCTAGGCGTGGGGCCCGTGAGGACGCCCTCTGGCTACGTCAGGGAAATGCCCAGAAGCGGCCTGGCCAAGATCGGTACACGAGGATCGTCGGCGTCACGCCCCCCGAAACAGGGTACTGGGGAGGGGAAGTGTAAGGGCCGCAAATCCAAGAGGACCCCCATCGAGGCGAGAATCTGATGGGGGACCGAAGAAGGCAGCCAGATTTAGGTCGAGTGTGTCCTCCTACAGGTGGATACTAGACGAAAAATAAAACCATCCAAAACATTCGCAAACACATGTCAAACATGCTAAAACGATCATCCCCGACATTTTTGCGCGAATTTCGAATAGTCCTCCTGTAGAGGAGCGTGCCCGACTTAAAACCAGATCTTCACAGTTCCTCCGTGCGACCTCTTGGGGTTAACACTGAAAGCCATGCCTTCTCCCCATAATCGATGTGAGTACATGAATGTATATATATATATATATATATATATATATATATATATATATATAATTTCCCTTCCCTTCCCCTTCTGGGGGACCACATGCAAACCCTACCCGCCCTCCCCCTTCAGAGATCGTGGGGAGTAGGGAGTAGGGGGTAGAGTTCGCATGTGGCCCCCTACCTGCCACACCCTCGTCGACCATTCCAATGTGTGCACTGAGCGCGAAGACATCGAATCCGAAGAGGCCATCCTCCTGTGCCGGGGGCGTCGGGGCAGCCTGGACAACGCGGGCGCCGTGCAAGTTCAGGGAGATGCGGACCAGATGCGCGCAGGACTTCTCCATGAGGAGCTGCGAGGGCGGGGAAACGGATGCAGACGAGCATGGCAATCGATGTGCTGCGCTCCAGATCATCAACCTCTCCACGTGCACCTGGACGACATTTTCACAGCTGCCCTGGAACTCCAGCACATCCCAACAACTATCAGTGCTTGTGCGTAACTCCTGCTCCTCCAACCGACGCAGGTTCTCGCGGGGCGCTGCTCCAAATGAACCCCTTCTTTCTTGGACACCCTGGATGCCCCAAGACTCCGCCTCGCTCGCTTCGCAGAAGCTCCAGCGAGACGGGCGAGCCCGATATCGATACGTTCGGGCCAAGGCCCCACAACTGCACCTCGCAGACGTGTAGAGTGCATCTGGAGCAGCTTTCCTCACTTAGTTGGAATGCTGGTGTCCTGAGGGAAACGGAGCCTGGAATATTTTTTGTTTTTTGAGGGAGAAGATGGGAGCGGACAGCGAAACTGTACACCACGCGGCTGGAGCGGACAAATCCTGCCCCCCCTGGACAGACAGACAGACAGAAACGGAGCCTGGAATATGGGGCTCCCCGCCCCGGGGCAGTTCTCCAAGTGTTTACACCTCTTGTTAGTAGTGTGGTGCCTCCGCCTCCTTCTGCCTTCCCCCTCCGACAGACTCATTCAAACTCAGACTCGCTCATGCTCAAAGTCACTCAGGCTTGGACCCACTCATGCTCCGCCTCATTCGCACTCATACGCACTCATACTCATCTGTTTCAGTTCGAGCCCATACACACCGTCTACGTACACCCAGATCATACAAAAAGCAGACGCCTTCATAATCAGACTCGACGACCCTTCGACACTGGTACTAGGCCCACTCATACTCAGCACAGCACATGCGCATACATGGATGTCGCACTCAGACGTCCATGCACCTCCAGAGATGGAGCCGCAAGGCATGTAACGAGGGCCCGTTCGCGGCCAGGTAGTGTTAAGTCGGGCGTGTCCCCCTACAGGGGTATCTTGGATGAACAAGTGCAAACTAATCACAACACATACTCATAAATGGTTAAACCAATTACTAGAAAATCGTCCCCACTCTATGTGTTTGACTATTTTCGAATATGCCACCTGTAGAGGGACACGCCCGACTTCAAGGCAGTGGGGACGTCTCGAGGGAAACGCCTGCCGGGCGCCACCGACACCTCGCCTTGCAGAGCCGCTGGATCGGGGGGCAATGTCTACTCGGCCCGTATCATAAGGATGCGCGGTAAGGATGCTGGGACCTTGGAGGAGAAGAATCAAGGAGGAGGAGGGGTGCCATGTTAACGTTTTTCGAGCGAGGTTGGCCAGCGAAAGTCGCTCAGGATGGGCCGAATGGGGCAAGGATGCAAGGGTGCCTGACGGGGCCCCAGGACACACAAAATAAATACACACAAATAAAAAGATTCCCCATATTTTCCAATATGTTCAGGGTTTCTGTCTTCCCCCCCACTGGCCATATTTTCCCGTATTTTGTGGGGAATCGAGGATTAATTGTGTCTGTGTGTTTTTTCTCTCTCCTGAATGCAAGGGTGCCCCTGGAAGGTTGCCCATCCCTGTTGTGCGGGCTGACTTCAGCAAACATCGGCACGTGGGCCCCCCGCGGGGGAGCCGCCAAGGGACGTTTGCACAGGCCCGTTCGCGGCCCGCGTGTGGGATGTCAAAGGGAAACGCCTGCTCGGAGCTGCCGGCTCCTACAGTCGGGGCGTTGACCTAAGGAACCCTAAATGAGGAACGAGGCCCCTTTATTCCATAAGTTAAACTTCGATTTCCTATCGAAAACATAAGGAAAACCTGAGGCAAGCTGTGAAACACGTAAGGAACGCGGAGCCCCTCCCCAACCAAAAGGGTTCCTTCTTCAGGGCCCCGACTGTAATCTTACAGAGTTACATGGGCGACGATCGAAAACGGGCCGCCGGCGGTGCACGCCACACTGAAGACGAGGTCACTTGCGCGCGGCCTTACGCGGGAAGCTTGCGCGCCGATGTCGGCGCAGACGACCTCCTTTGGTTGCGTCGCTCACATGGTCACCACGACGTAGCAGGCGTGGCACTTGGGCATCCCCAGGGGGATGGCGCCAAAGGTTGTTACAACATCCCGTTCGCGGCCAGACGGAGACTGCGATGCGAAGCGCCGGTTTGGCGCCACGGATTCCTCCCCATTCAGAACCACATGATCACCGACATGTAGCAGGCGATGCATTTGGGCCACCCCACGGGGGGGCCTCCAGGAGGTATTTCACTGGCCCGTTCGTGGCTGGTTTCTCGGGATGTTTCAAGCACATCGTCTGTTTGGCACAAGCGGCGCCTCTCCTTTCGGAGCCGCACGGTCACCGCGATGTGGCGGGCGTGGCGTTAGGATTGCCCAGGATGGGGCCGCAAGTGGGTGCCCGTTCGTGGCCAGACTGTGATGGGGATGTCTCCAGCGAAACGCCTGTTTTTTTTGGGGGGGGGGCTGGAGGGCATTGGCGCGCAAGGAGGTTGCGCTGAACTCCAAAACCAGCACTGGGCTGCACCATGTCCCATGCGCACCTAAGGAATGGGACAGGTCTCAGCAGACGTAAAAGCTGCCACAAGAGATGTCCGAAAACAGATCAGAAACGCCCTGCTGACGCTCAAGCGAAACGCCTGCTTGGCGTCACCGACTCCGTTCTTCCCGGAGCCACACGATCACCTGCGGTGTACCAGCTTGGCACCTCGAGATGCCGCCAGGCGGTGCCACTCTGGCCATCTCTCGCGGCCAGATTTCGGGCACTGCTGTGGCGAAGCGCCTGTTTGGCGCCCCGGTTTCCTCTCCACAGGATCACCGACATGTAGCAGGCGCTTCATCTTGGAAGTTGACTGCTCCAGCCAGCAAGTGATCATTTCCATCCTGGAAGTCGTCAATCACAACTTGAGGGCGACAGCCAACGCACTCGAAACCTTCGGGGCCAACCAAACCCCATGGGGCCTGGAGAAAATTACAGCCTGGCTGCTTGAACGAACGAGACAACTCACACTACGTTTGTGCGAGCCCCTCGAACTCGAAACCGTCGTGACCAGCCTGATTGCGGCTCTACACTTTTTTGATCCGCGGGTCGAGAGCGCATCTCTTCCGGTCGAAGCTAAGCGGGCTGCGAAGCTTGAATTAGGCAGAGAAGAGGAGGAAGCGGCGGAGCCTCAGAGCGAGGCCGAGGAGGAGGTATAGCCTCGGATACAGGCGGTGCCGAAGCCGAAGTTCTTGCAAAGGGACGCCTTCATCATGAGCCCCATTGCGGCTCCACACGTGCATGCCATGGCATGCCATTTCCGATGTGAGCGTCCGTGTGGGAACGTCTTGGCCCGTGGCGGCTGAGCGCCTCCCGCCCCCCAGTGAGTGCCCAGGCGGCATGCCTGCTACATCGAGGCGAGTGCCCAAGTGGAGTGCCCGAGTGGTGAGTTTGAGGATGGGTGACTCTGAATCTGAATGAACTGAGTGTAAGTGAGTCTGGCAAATACGTCGACTTCGGCACCGCCTGATCCCGGGGTTGCCTCCCCGGCCTCGCTCTGAGGCTGCACCCTCCCCCTGTCCTCCCCCTCATTTTAATTCAAGCTTCGCGCGGCCCGCCTAGCTTCGACCGGAAGAGGTGCGCTCTGGACCCGCGAATCAAAAAAGTGTAAGTGAGTCTGAGCGTGAGTGAGCTGAGCATTGGGTGCGAGTGGTACAGACTTGATGTGAGAGAGTATGAGTGGGAGTGAGCCTGAGTGTGAGTGGATCTGAGTGTGGATCTGAGTGTGAGTGGCTCTGAGTGAGAGAATTTGAGTGCGAGTGAAACTGTATGTGAGCGAGTCTCATACACACAAGTCTGCGATGGAACCCCCTCGCGCCGAAAACCAGGGGTTCTCATGTCCCTACGATAATGATACGGCAGACATCCTTGCGGTAGCGTATGCTGCAACGCGTTTGCATACGAATGTCTCGAGCAACCTTTGCTGTACATTGAGTTCCCAGCAATAGGTGGCTGGGAATCTCGTGCTGCTGGTTGATCTTATTCGCGTTGCGCAGGGAGTGCCCCCTTCTTGAGAGAAGAGTCCGTCCAACATTTGCCTAGATCCAATGGTTATTCCGATCAGCCTGAGTGAACCACTTTCGGGGAGCCTCCTGGAATGCCCCCCCTCCTCCTCCCCAGGCTCCCGACGCAGTGCTTTTTTGCACAGCGTGGACTCCTGCAAGTCTGACCACCGCACTGGTGACGAGCTCATCCAGAGTCTCTCATTATCCAGGAGACTCGTACGCCAAGGCCCCTTCAGGCCTCGGACGCGTTAGGCCGTGATTCTCCCATGACGCGAGGGAGCCTGTGGCCACCCCTGCCCAGGCAACGACCCACCGTGTGAAGCTGGAACCCTCCTTCGCCTCGGCGCCGGCTCGCGACCGTGCGGATGCTGGAGCGATCGCGCCAGCGGACGACGGCGAGGGAACGCTCCCATGCGGGAGGGGGAAGGGGAGAGGGAGGAAGGGCTGGAGGGAGAGGGAGAGTGGGCAGGACGATGGAATGCCCCTCCTCCCTGCCTCCTGCTCTCCGTTCACACCTTTCTTCCTCCTCCCTCCCTCCTCCTCCACCACGTCCTCTGAGAGCGTCCGATCTCCAAGCCGCTTCCCCTGTCTCCCGCGGGTGCCTCGAGCTGCCTATAACTACATATCTCCATCAGCTTCTGGCAGAGGTAGTTCCCGAAGGGATCCATCATGAGGTCGACGCAGTTCGTGAGCACCTAGATCGGCTCAAGAGGAAGGGAAACGCCCGGAGGGCTGGACAAGGAGGGAACGTGAAGACGGACGGGCGACGGTAAGTAACCAGACAGAGAACGATAAAACGACGATCTAGGACGGATATCATGATGAGGACGAGAAGAGAATTACCATGGCGATGCCAATGACGTAGCTGCTGGAGGCAACCCTGCCTGCGCTTATCAGTCCATCTTCGTCGCAGACGGCCTGGGAGATTTTGGGCCACATCTCGGCATGCTGGCGCCCGGACCACTTCGCATTCGAGCGCGAAGTGCCAAATCGATGCTGCAGTGATGCGGCCGTGTCTGATACAGTGGAGGCCAGTCCACAAGAAACCTTCAACAAGAAACCCGACGCTGAGACCCCAGGACGTCCATGGATTTTTGATGTGGGGACGTCACGCCTTCCATAGCAAAACCATCGAAACGCAAGAAACCCAGGGCACCAGGCAAGCAAGGTGTTGCTTGGCTTTGGTCTCCACCTGACACCACACCGTCTCTTGACCGCTCCTGTGCGGGGAGAACGTGCAGCATAGCCGGCGACGTCCTAGGATCAGGTCGCTGTGCCAGAGAGACCTGCTGTGGAAAGGCTCTGGCTCCCATCCCGGGCGCACGCTCCGAGTCCCCAATTCCGAACATGACACGGAGGGACAGCGCGCGCGAACAATCATTATGTTGCTTCCTGCCCCTTGCGCGACTCGTCTGGCCAGGTCTTCAGACCCGCGGGGAGGCAACCGTCCATGAGCTTAGAGAGCACCTTCCTGCCCTCTTACTTCCGCATCCTTGTTTTCATGGTGCCCTTCGTCCTCCTCTCCTCATTCTCCTGCTACTGCTGCTCCTCCAGGCGGTCATGCTGGTGCTTCTCTAGTTCCTTCGCTTTCCTCCCACGTAGTTGGTCGCGCCTCTTGTCCCCGGACGTCCCTGGTCGTCCCTCGTCGTTCCTCCTCTCCCCTCTCTCCTCCTTCCTCCCCCTTCCTCCTCGTGCTCCTCCTGCTCCTCCTCCCCCTTCTGCTCTTCCCTCCTCGCTCCTTCCTCCACATCGCTCCTCCATTGATGTCATGCCCCTCTCCCCGCCGCTCTCATCGCTTCCCCTTGTTCCTCGTTCCTCTCTCCATCTCGTCCTACGAGTAGGACTGGCATCCAGATCTAGTCCCGCACCCCGGGTGAATTTAGCGCAGTGCTTTTTCAGAAGACTCAGCTGACATGGGAATATCAGCCACCTTGCCGTAGGCACTGAATGGAATGACCTCAGGTCCCTTCGAGCTCTCTGGATTAAGGAATGAGCGTGCTCTGAAACGGAGTTCAAAGCCCCGATTCAAGGCATTGTCGGGCACTCCTATTTCGTGCATGGCCGTTCCTCGGGTGTTTGGGAGCGTGAGTGTGTTGAGTAAGGCCGGGGGGTCAGACTTGCAGAACACCCCAATCGGACGTCAAAAGGCGCAACCAGCCTGTTCGTTTAAGCTGACACTGATGGACGACATCCGGCGTCAATCCAACACTCTGGACCTATTGCGAAGCGAATGGTTGGACTTTTGCCCCACTTTGGCCAATCTGCCATTGCGCGTGCTGGCCCAACGCAGGACAACCTGGCGAGGGGAAGCTGCATCCACCTCGGAAGCGCCCGGCGAACGCAGCCCCCTCCGACGAGACTGGCGCGGGTCAGGCGCGCAGAGTCATGCGGCTACTCGGCGAAAGCGGGGAACATCCAAACGCATGCCCTGCAAACGCATGCGGCTTTGGCGGTTCGACGCCGCACGTGGTGCACCAAATGGTAAAGAAGCACGTGGCAAGATTACGCTCTTTGACATTCGTTTGGGGCGGAACGCGGACGCCGGCGAAGCGGGGCTGGAGAGGGGGCAAGAAAAACGAGGAAGGTGGCCCGACGCCGAACTGCTGCGCGGGCAATCAGGGATGCCATCCACCTTGCGCATTGTGAAGACGAAGCAAACGCATCGCAGAGCGGCGGAGCAAAATGGGGCAGGACAAACGAGCAAGGGCGTGCAAGAGGGCAAGGGTGGAAGGTGGAGGGGGGCCGCGGCCACCAGAAAGGGAGGAAGCAACGAGGGCGGCGAACGGGCGGGGGAACGTGACGCAAAGAAATCGATCGCCCATGTCGACAATTTCCCGCGCGGGGGGCAGGATGCACGGGCCCTTCTAGGGGCAAATTCGCAATCGAACGCGCGGGGGCGCAAGTGCGCGCGAGGACAAAGGGCGCGCGCGGCCAAAGATGATCGGGCGACGCCGGCACTTCGACAAACTGCGGGGGGGGGCGCGGTGGCGGGGCCGAAGGCCCCTCCCCGGGTCTGCGCTGGGGGTCCGCGAAGAATCGGAAAGACTTGTCGCTCCAAGATGGCTCCATTGTTGCCTCCGAAAGCCTAAGATGGACCTCCAATATTGATCAGTGCGTGGCTAAGTTTTTCAAGATACGCCGACGCGCTCCAACATGCCCGAGCAACGAGTCTGCTGAGTTGATGGGTTTCGACCAGCCCCGGCGGGACCCGCCTGCGCCAAGACGACCCGTCCTGGTGGGAGCTCCACCGAAGGTCCCAGTGCTACCGCCCGCATGCGTCCCTCCCAACAAGTACAGCACTTCGTGGCCCTCCTCCCCCTCCTCCGTTTCACCCACCCAGTACCATGCTTCGTGGCCCCAAACCTCCTCCTCCTCCTCCTCCTCCTCCTCCTCCTCCTCCTCCTCCTCCTCCCCCTTTTCCTACTCCTCCTCCTCCTCCTCCTCCTCCTCGTCCTCCTCCTCCTCCCCCTTTTCCTCCTTTTCCTCCTCCTCCTCCTCCTCCTCCTCCTCCTCCTCCTCCTCCTCCTCCTCCTTCTGTCTCCCCGCCTCGTCTCCCCCCGCCTCCTCCGCAGGGCCCGCCCTCCGACCGCTCCCCGCCCGCTCTCCCTCCACCCCCTCCAGGGAGCCCTGCCGGCCAAGAGGGGCGGGGCCGCGTGAGACCTCGCGGGTCCAAACATAGTCTGGGGACTTTTTTTTTTTTTTTTTTTTTTTTTTTTTTTTTTTTTTTTTTTTTTTTTTTTTTTTTTTCCCCCTTTTTGTTTTGTTTGTCTTTTTGTTTTTGACCTTTTTGGGGCATTTGTGGGGTATTTGTGAGTTTTCGTAAGAACCCCCCCTGTGGGGGGACACTCCCGACATAACTAGGGGGCAAACAACCCTACCTCGCTTTTGACCACCCTCGCTTCCGAGAGATACCAAGCGATGCCAAACCACGGCCTGTACTGGTCAGGCCGCTTGACGAGGAGGCGCGTGGTATGACTTGGTTTTGCCTGGAAGCGAAAGCGGGGTAAGTAATTCACGCTCTGAGTGAGACCTCGTTGAAGATCCGGTTGACGACCTCCGAGTTGCCCTCGGCCGCGGCCTGCGACGGGGGGGGGGGGGCGCAGGGGCTCAAAACAGGGCTAGGATCGGGATAAATCGCTCCAGAGCGTTCCGGAGTGCTCTCAGAGCGTTCCGGAACGCTCTGGAGCGGCCGCGGCGCCCAATACATCCTCCAAACCCGCCGATTCTCAGAGATTTCGAGTTATCCCGATCCGATTTTGTCCCGATCTTCGTGTCGTTTTAGCAGGGGCTGGGGAGGGGACAAGGAAGAAACCCCTGCAGGCCCCACGAGGCCCCCAACGCTCTGCGATTGGGAGAGGAAAAGTCACAGAGCCGCCCACCAGACCAATGATCCGTAGGAGGGAGACGATGGATGCTGCCCCCTCACAAAAGGAGGGCGCCAGCACGTCCACACCTTGGCCGAAGAGGCAGCGGATGAGGAGACGAAGAAGGCAAGAGAGGGCGCACGCACAGATTCCCCCCAAGAGGCATTCAATCATGCTTTGGCCGGCAAGACAGGCACGGTGACGGGATGAACCGAAGGCCACTCGATCCGCTGGTCTTCTGGTTTGTCACAGGGTTGCTTTGCGTGCCGGGTGTTGCAGCTCGATTTGGCCCGTCGAGAACGTTGCCAGAAGTTTCCGGCCCAACCCACAGGCAAGCACCCAAATTGGATGCCGTGGGTTCCTCCTCCCGATATGCCTCCCATGACGGCATGAAACGGCCTCCAAACGGGCCCAAGCCGTCTGCAAAACGGCCACTTTGGTCTCAGGATGGTCCCAGAGACGGACCAAGAGGCTACCAAGAGTACTCCAGATTTCATAATAAAGGGAGGGGGGTCTCATTTCGGGGGGGGATCTCTTCCAGGCTATCTTGGAGGGCCTGGGGGGGTCTGGGGACGATGTTTTGGAGGGTTCTCCCACGGGGGGGGGGTCTGAAATGGCTTGTCTTGGAGGGTCCAGACCCCCTCCCTTTTATTACGAGATCTGGAGTACCATAACATTCGCGCTTTTTGGGGCCTCGAACGGCACAAGACGACCTGGAAGGCCCCGTGGCCAAATGCGGCCTAAGATGCCTGAGCCATACGGCCACGACCTGTTGGGCGCGGCTGGAACATGGCGCGCCGCCGCCCCAAATGTGGTCTGGCATCTCAATCCCACCACTGGAGAAGAAACGGACATGTGTGAAGGGGCCCCAGGACACACAAATAAATACACACAAATAAAAAGATCCCCCATATTTTCCAATATGTTTTGGGTTTCTGTCTTCCCCCCCACTTTCCATATTTTCCCATATTTTCTGGGGATCGACGAATAATTGCGTCTGTGTGTTTTTTCCCCTCCTGACAAATGTGGTCTGGCATCTCAATCCCACCACTGGAGAAGAAACGGACATGTGGTGTGAGAAATGGCCATGGGATGTTCGGGCGGTGCGTCGTGGGCGTTCGGAGGTTGCTCGGTCCTCTGAAAGACTCGTGGAGGTCGGGAGCAGCAGGGGGAATGGGAATAGGGGCGGGGGAAGGGGAGATGGAAGGGGGATGTGGTCATGATTTTGATGGTGACGAATCTGCTGCTGGAGACGGTGATGCTGATCATGCGGACACTTCACAGGGCGGTGGACACCCGACTGCTAGTAGCATGTTAAAACCGCCCGGCGGGTTAGGAGACGACGGCGGCGACGGTGGCCCGCGGCATGAAGGTGGCACTCTGCGAGCCATCGAGCAATGGTGCCCAGGCGCCCATCGCGTTGCAAGCGGCCGTGCCCCTTCGAGGCGACCGCGAGGTCGGCTAGCGCCTCCGATGCGTCGGTGCTGCGGTGGCCGCTCGCCCCGACGGCGATGCTGCGCAGGTGCTCGTAGCAACGAGATGATGATGGCGATCGTCGAGGCTGGTGATGGTGATTCTGTGTAGGAGGATGCTGGTACCGTTGATGCGGACTGAAATACTGGCCCGCGCAGTTGATAGAGATGGTGATGAACATGCTGATGGTGACGATGATGGCGGCGGCGGCGGTGATGAGTTCGGGGCCTCCTGGGAAAGTGGGCTTCAGAGGTCCGCGCGGGAGCCCTGTGGCCGTGACTCGACGGGGCGCGCGTTGCTGAACACTGCGCGCTCGCTTCTGGGGGAAGGCAGGTCGCCCAGAACAAAAGGCGATCTGCGGGGCGCGCCGCCGCAGGCCCTCACAACCACAGGGACATGAAACTGAAGAGGCCCACAAACACACAAATAAATACACACGAATACAATGATTCCCCATATTTTCACATATTTTCTGAGTTTGTGTCTTCCCCCCCACTTCCCATATTTTCCTGGGAGTGGACGATTAATTGTGTCTGTGTGTTTTCTCCCCTCCTGAGAAACATCGGGGGACGATCTGGGAGGGCGGGGGGGCGGAGGACAACGGAACGTCCGCGCGGGGCGGGGGGGGGGGCGCAGAGCTGTCGATGGGCTCACCCAGATCTGCAGGGCCCACCACTCAGTCGCGTCAAACAAAAGGGAAATTAGGACACACAAATAAATACACACAAATAAATATATTCCCCATATTTTCCCATATTTTCTGGGTTTTTGTCTTCCCCCACAATTCCTATATTTTCCCATATTTTCCTGGGAATCGAGGATTAATTGTGTCTGTGTGTTTTTTTTCCCTCCTGACAAACTCCGAACAGGCGGGCCGACGAAAGCTGTTAGGTGACACCTTGTCGCGCGAGGGCGAGACGCGGCTGCGCGGAAAAGCCCGCCGCGGGAAAATCGGCCCCGATATCAACATCATGCATAGGAGTGCGAACTCACCTCTCCGCAACTTCAGCACATGAATCATCGTCCCCCTGCGCTGTCTTCGTGATGCGACACTCCCGCGCGAGCTGCTCTGCGTCCTCTGTTTTCTGGCGCGCGTTGATGTACTCGTAGATATTATGTGCCCTCTTCGCGTCGTCGCCTCTGCGCGCCTCTATGGCGGCCGCCGCCTCGACCAGCGCCGCGCCCAACAGGGTGCGAGGCCGCCCGAGATGCCCCAATGCGAGGTCGTCGCTTTCCTCCTTGATGGACGCGCCCGGCAGGACGGCCCTCGATCGCGCGCGCCCCAGGGGGTGCTCGGCGTCTGCTTGATGACGAGTATTCGGAACTATCGTAGCCAATTCCCTGACGTGCATGCCCTTCGTCGCCTTCTGTTCGCCCTTGTTGCAGCGATTGCCGCTCCGTCTCGTCGCCCGCGATTCTGGCCCCGCTGCGCCGCCCGCCTGCGCCCCCCGTGTGCCCGGCTGCGCGGGTGGCCCACCATTCCCAGGCGCTGGCGGGGAAGCGCGGCGGGCGCCGCGACGCCCTCATTTGAAGGTGCCGCCGCTGATGGGTCGGCGCCGCCGCAGCTGGGCCGCGCCCTGGCGCGCGCGGCGGCGGGCTGACCGCCCGCGGAGGAAATGGCGGGGGCAATTGTCACGGCTCCGACATACAATCTGGCAGACCACGCGTTCTTTCTCACGAAACAGCACGCCGAGCACGCCGTGCACCTGATGGCGCGGCCCCTTGCTGCGCGCCTGATGCGATCGCAGCGCCGAGCGACCGACCGCGCGTCGATCCGCCCATCAGTTCGATCTCGCACGCGCGAGGCATGGCGCCAGTCACTCCAATCCCCCCCCTTGAGGAGACGGGCCGCCCGTTGCGCGCCGCGCGGGGGCTGGCGCCGGGAGAGGAAGCCAGCTCGCGCAGTGCGGGGTCCGATGGCGGCGCGTCTGTCACAGATCCCCCCCTCCTCTAGGATGCCCCCGACGCTGCGAGGTCGCCGCGCGTCGCGTCGTTCGGTCGCCCAGTCGACCGACGAGGGCGCCTCGATGTCGGATGCTAGATGCTTCGCCCAGGGGTGGATCGACGCGCCCGCGTCGACGGCGCCGGCGTCGCCCGGGATCGGGGCCCCCACGTCGGCCGCGCCTTCCGCCGCCAGATTGCCGAAGAACCCCGCCAGGCAATGCGCGCGCCGCGGCGCGTCTGTGAGCGCGTCGCGCCCGCCGTCGACAGATCCCGCGCGCCGCGGGCGCCGGCGCGACGGGCAGCAACTCCCCGCATCGCCGAGCGTTCAGAGTCGACCGGGCCCAGCTGGCGCCGCGCGCCCCAGCGTGGACCCGCCCCTGCGGCGCGGATCGGGGCTTCCCGATCATGCTGGGGTCGAAGGCTGGATGCCCGACATGCTGTAGAGATAGCTTTCACCGCCGCAGGTGGCGGAGCTGCGCGCGCTCCCCGCGTCGAAATCGGTCGGGCGCCCCTCCTGCCCGAGGGCGCCGAAACGAAGACCGAGTGATTCCAAGCGCGATTGACAGCAAGCAGCCCCCCCCTCACGGTCAGCAGCGCTACTCCAGATCTCGTAATGAAAAGGACGGGGTCTGGACCCTCCAAGACAAGCCATTTCAGACCCCTCCCGTGGGAGAACCCTCCAAAACCTCGTCCCCGGACCCCCCCGGGCCCTCCAAGATAGCCTGGGAGACCCCCCCCGAAATGAGACCCCCCTCCTTTATTACGAAATCTGGGGTACTGCCAGATGCGCGCCTCGCAACCCCGGCCGAAACGCCCGGCGTCTAGTTCGCCGACGCTGCGGATCTCTCCGGAGGGCGCATCGGGCGGGGAGCTTGCGGCTTCGCGGGGTCGTCGGCGAACGGGCCCGCGCCCGCGGTGGCCGCGCGTTGAAAAAAACGCTACGAAGGCCAATCTGCGTCTAGAACAGCCGCTCGCCATGCCGATGTACCCGACGGCATTGTCATCGTCGTTGTCCATGAGAGTTTCCGGTTGGCTGCCGCCCCCCATGGGGCCCCACTTCCCGCCGCCCAGTAGATCCCTCGCTGAGATGGGGCTGATGCGCGCAGTCGCATTGAATTAGCGCCGAGGAAAATGCGCCCCCATAGCGTCTGGCCAACCTTAGCCATCCTATGTTTGCAGTGCCCCGTTGTCAGCCACAGCAAGGCCGAGCGTGACCGTGCGACGTATAGAACAAGGCCCACGCGCGCGCTCCACTCGGCACACCGCGACCCGCGATGAACGCATCATCCATTTGAGCCGTCTTCTGCTGCACCCGCCGCGCGCCAACTCAGGTGCAGCGCGAGGCCCGCCCTCGAAGTTCGCCGCGCGTCGGCTGAAGCTGCGCCACCAGGGGCAAAACAATGGGGGGGGGCGGCGCCCAAGGGGCCCGGGCGCGGCCCCCCCTGTCCAGCGCGAAGGTCCGGCTCGCGTTCGGCGGCTCGGCGCGCGGCGCAACGCGCGAGCGCAGGCGCGACCGTCGGTCAAGATATTCGCGGCCTGCGCGCGCTTGCCCGAGGCAGATTCCTCTTCGTCGGGCCGGGCGGGTTCTCGAAGTCCATCGGGTCGATCGCGGCAGAGGGGCAGAACCCAGCAGTGTGAGCCTCCGTCGGCGCGCCCCAGCATGTGCTTGCGTCTCCAAAATGCCGCCCACCCCTAGGCGCGGGCCCTTGAGCCAATGGCGATTGGATGCCCTTCTGGGCGCGGAAGTACAACAATGCGCTCAGCTGGGCGGCGGGCCACTGCCAGTGTCGGCAATGCGCGATGATCGGTGGCCGAGAAACCACCATCGCATCCAGGCTGCGCGAGAAAATCGATCCATCCTGTGCGTGAAAGCTGGCCGGTGACCGATAACCTCGCTCGCGCGCGCCAACGCCCCGGCGCGCGCGTCGCCTCGCAACTGCGCGCGTGTCTACCACGTGCCGTTAAGCCCGTGTTTCCTGGAACACACTGTCAAAAACACTGTCATGTTGTGCTCGGGGTTCGCCTCTGATGCGCGTGCAATGCCTTTGCGAACGCCTCCGCCTCGTCGCAGGCCGCGCCGGGAGCGTCGGTGCGAAGGGCTGACCGCTGGGCGGAAGTCATTTCCAGGAGCAAATCGAGTCTCCGCCTCGTCGCTTCCCTGAGCCGCTGTGGCAGCTCATTTGCCGTGGAGAAATGCTTGATCGGAACTTGCCCACTGACGGCGGCGAAGAAATGAATGTGCCTGGCTGGGTTTGGGCCCACGCGTGCTTCCTGAAAAAGGTTCTGGCACGGCTCGAGCGCATCGCGTAGAGCGCGCGAGGAAGGCTCTCGCCCACTTCCTTGTTGCAGGCTCTCCGAGATATCGTGCCAACAGCTGCGTGCCGCGTGGTCGTGGCCAAGGCAAGGAAGAAGAAAGATACGTGCCACGATCGGGATGTGGTCCCAAACGCTTGCGTTTCCTTGTGCGTCGGGCTGCGGTACAGCCGACCCGTATCATAAGGATGCGCGATAAGGATGCAAGGGCCGTGAATGCCCCGTAAGTTTGAAGCTTCTCGAGCGCGGCGCGGCGACCGAAACTGGCCAAGGATAGACCGAGGATGCAACGATGAAAGGGTGCTCGTGGGCCCGATCCTTGTTATGCGGATTGATTGTGCACCATATCCTGCGCGTCATGTCCGCTATGTGCAAGGTCGGGGCGAAAATGAAGTCGATGGATAGTCTCAGCGACGCTGTGTCAATGAACGTCGGCCCAACCTTTCTGCGCGTGTTGATCGCGCCCATGTCGTGGTCGAGTACAACGTCGCGCAAAAGATTGCCGTTCTCGTTCCCGCGTCTGTTCCCGAATGGCCCAGTGCGACTATGTTTATTTATCCCGGGCGATGTTAGCACCCGCCATCACGAATTGGACTCAGCGGCAGGAACAGCTCTTGAGCATCAGGCAGAACATTTAATCCATACCACAATACCGAACATCGTTGTCCTCTAATTCGGTCGAGCCTTCGGTGTAAATGGCTGTGGTCCGAATACAAGTCGTAGATTATCTTGCCACGGCAACGCCTGTGTATTTTTGGACGCGTGAAGCATTCCTCCGCGCCGGCGCGAGGGAACTTCATTGGGGAAGGCAAATGGGCCTGAACTTTCGTCCCGCCGGAGTGCTATGGCAAGGCGCCTGCTCTCGAGTGTGAGCTGGGCGCGGGCCTCCTCGCGCCGGTGCTGCTGCTGCTGATGGTGATGGTGATGATGATGGTGATGATGGTGATGATGATCATGATGATGATGGTGATGAGGATGATGATGGTGAGGTTGATGATGAGGGTGCGGATGATGACGATGGTGCTGATGATTCAGATGCTGATTCAGATGATGATGGTGATGCTGATGATGAGGATGATGATGTGATGATGAAGAGGATGATCCAGATGATGGTTATGCTGATTAGGATGGTGATGAAGATGGTGATGATGGTGGCGGTGCTGATGAGGGGGTGAGTATGATAACGGTGGTGGTGATGAGGACGATGATGGTCATGACGACGATGACGATGCTGCTGATGCTGATGCTGATTTTTTTCAACCCCTAAAGAGTTTGTTTTCCTGCAGGGACTGGGGCGGCGACAGCCTGCAGAATGACGTCCTTGCCCAAATTAGGCAGAGATCTCAAGGCCAAATGCAGGAGTCCTGCAGATGGAAAAGCAGCGCGGACCGCCCGCCCTCGACTGTGCAAAAGGACGGTCGGCAAGACGGGCGAGCGCCGGGGCCTTCTCGAGCTTGTGCTGCAGCATGCGGCACCCAGCCTCGGGGAGCGGCGGCCGCAGCGGCTCTCCCGCCCGCCTTGGCGCTCCTCCCCTCCCTTGCTTCTTCTCCTCCAACTCCTCCTCCTCCTCCTCCTCCTCCTCCTCCTCCTCCTCCTCCTCCTCCCCCTCCCCCTCCTCCCCCTCCCCCTCCCCTCCTCATCTTTTCCCCTTGTTCGTGCCCTCCCCGTCCTCGTCCTCATACTCGATCTCCTCCTCCGTCTCCTCGTGGTCCTCCAGCCCCACGTCCTCCTTGTGCTCATCACCCGACAGCTGCTGCTGCTCCCCGGCCTCTTCCTCCCTCCCCTTGCTCATCCCTCCTCCGTATCCTCCTGCTGTTCCTCCTGCTCATTCTCGCCTTCTTCCTTGTCCACCTCCTTCTCCTCCCTGTTCTTCTCCTCCTCCTCCGCATACTCGTATCCTTCCTCTTTCTCCTGTTTTATGCCACTTCCATGGCATTGTCCTCCCTCCCTGGTCATCCTAACTAGTTCCTCCTCCTCCTCCTCCTCCTCCTCCTCCTTCCTGCTCCTCCTCGTCCTCCTTCCCTCCCACCATCCTCGTGCTTCTCACCCTCCTCCCGATTCATCTCCTCGTCCTGCGCTTCTTCCTCCCGAGCCTGCCGCGCCCGGTCCTGCTGCTCCTCCTCCTTCCTCCTCCTCCTTATCGTGCTCGTGCTCGTGCTCGTGCTCGTGCTCGTGCTCCTCCTCCTCCTCCTCCTCCTCCTCCTCCTCCTCCTGCTCGTGCTCCTCCTCCTCCTCCTCCTCCTCCTCGTCCTCCTGCTCCTCCTCCTGCTCGTGCTCGTGCTCCTCCTCCTGCTCGTGCTCGTGCTCGTGCTCGTGCTCGTGCTCGTGCTCGTGCTCCTCCTCCTGTGCTCCTCCTCCTCCTCCTCCTGCTCCTCCTCCTCCTCCTGCTGCTCCTCATCCTACTCAGCGCACCCGCACTGAAACAATCACCTTCCGGCACGAGCAACGGGCGGTGCAGCTCAAGAGCTCGCAGGGGCCGCGGCTGGCTCATTGCCGATTTGCTGGAGACGAGAGGGTCTCCGTCGTTCCTCTTGTCCCCGCTCCTCTCCCTCCTCCTCCTCCGAAGGGGGTGGGGGGGGGAGAGAGCCAGAGAGGGAAGGGCAACGGGGGGGAAGAAGGGAGGGGGAAGGGCTGGGGGAGGGGAGAGGAGGGAGGGCAGACGAGGAAGGGGGGGGGAGGGAGAAGGCACTCTGAGCTTCTCAATGGGCGTGTGGGGGGTACCTCGCCGACGGGGGTCATCCCCGCCTCGTCGCGCCGCGACGGGGGTCGGAGCGGCCTCGGCGCGCGGTGGCTTCCCGCGACGGGGGTCCGCGTGGGGCTGTCGGCGGGGGTGAGGCCCCCCCGACAATTATCAAGAAACTCGGAGTAACCCCAGGAAGCATTTAAGAACCCCCCCGGCGATATCGTAGCACCGCATGTTTTATTCGATATTCCGAGGGGCCGAAATAACCGAACGATGGCTTTAGCATCCGGACACAACGGTGGGCCTGGTGCCAGGTAACGCTTCCAGGGTGCGGAAGGGGTATCGATTTGCCGGAGGGGGGGGGGTTCTTAAATGCTTCCTGGGGTTAAGGTGGTGGAGGAAGGATGGCGGGAAAAGGATGGATCAGGAGGAAGACGACGAACCTTCCTGGAGTCATGCCACCGAACCTCGGATCAAGTTCACCCGACTGGTTTACCATTCGATCCCAAGCGAAAACCTGATTGCCGCCCCTCTCCGACGTATTTACTTACAGCCGGATGCAAGAGTAATACAGCTTTCGAATTAAAGGCGAGAAGATGAATTGCATCACAGTTGAAAGGTTCGGAATTGCCCACCTGAGAAGCTGAGACGGCACCGCGTCACGGGGACCTGAAGGGTCAATGGACATACTGTGCAATGTAACGGGGCTCAAATACAGCAGCCCGCTGCAAGCAAATGTAACATGTGCGCGCGTGAAATTCAAACCTCAAACACATGATGTGAAGATCGCTTCGATCGCCATGCTGCGACAGAGTCCCTCCCAGAGGGGCCACTGCACCTGGTCGCGTGCAATTGCCGGCACTTTCTCGAGGAACGCGCTGGAGTCAAACATCTCCTTGCGCGCCGGCAGGCCAGCCTCTGCCAGGCTCTGCCGCGGTGATGCGTGAAGCAAGGGCGACATGTCAAATACGCGACGAGGACCAGGCCGAAACCGAGCTAGCTTTAGGTCGGGCCTGTCCCCCTACAGGGGGATCTTGGACGAAAAATTAAACATACTGTGAAAATGCTCCCAAGATGCTATTGACTTTTTTTATTACTATTTTGAATTTTCTGAATTGACTTTTTTGTTGACTATTAAATCAAAAAACGTCCTCCGACTATTTTTTGACTTTTTTTGAATGTTCATCCTGTAGAGGGACACGCCCGACTTAAAGCTAGCTGAGCAGTGGCACGAAAAGAGTGTCCCACAGATCTCGACATGAAAGAGGGGGGGGGCGTGAGAGGCAAACACCATCTCAGATACAATACACATGCGAACAAAGCGTGGTGGCACGACCCCCCCCCCCCGCATCCTGGAGATTTCTTGCCGGGCACACCGGATGGCGCCGACCACCCGACAGGCGGATCGTGGACGAGAAGTACCACATCCCCCCAAAAAATTCAAAAATAGTCAAAAATGGTCAACACAACTCGTCCCCAGACTATCTCTCAAGTATTTGTGATCAATTACTCCTCCGGTAGAGTTAAGTCGGGCCTGTCTTCCTACAGGGGGATTTTCGACGAAAAATAAAAAACGCCCCGAAAATAATCCAACAAGAATCCAAACATAGCCTGGGGACTATTTTTTGATTATTTTTTGGCCATTTGGGAATCTGTTTGGGTATTTATCAACCTTCGTCGAAAATCCCCCTGTATGGGGGACGCGCCCGACTGGACTGTAGAGGGGCAGGCCCGACTCAAGAAAAACCATGGCCCTGCAGAGGCCTCGCACGGGGCACGCCAGCAGGCCGCCGAGACGGCCTGGACGCCCCCCCCCCTCCCCGGCACGAATGGTGAGTGTGGGGGGGGGATCCGTGAGGTGGGGGGGGGGCCTGTGCTCGTTGGGTGGGTGTGGGTGGCAGGTCGATAGAGGAAAGAGAAAGGAGAAGGGAACGAGAACTAATTATGCACGTAAAAGGTAGAATGATGATGAGAGAAAGAGAACTAGGTGATGAGCGTGAAGGATAGAGGAACAAGAGCTATGCACATACACCGATTCTGGCCAGGCCCATCCTGAGCCCAGGATCGGTGCATATGCCCGCTACCTTGGCCAGGAAGGTATATGCACCGATCCTGGGTCAAGGACGGACCTTGCCAGGATCGGTGCATGTGTATAGTTCTCTTCGCCTGGAATGAGGAGGACCGGCGGTGGGCAAACCTCACTTAAGTCAACCACCCTCAAGTGAAAACGGCCTGGGATCGAAACCGACGGGCCTGGATCCGCCAGAAGTGACGGCCGCGACGCCCTCTCGTGAACCGAAGACGGCCAATTCGCCAATCGACGTGTCAGGGTAGGAGGTCTATCAGTCTGGGTCTGCGCGCGTTGGGTGGTGTGCGCGTTTCGGGGGGACCAAAAGGGGGGGATCTCAAAGGGTAGGGTTGAGAATCAGCTCACGTAGCTGATTTTCTCATCGCCTCCCGGTGCCGGGAGACCCCCATGCATCAAGGAATGGGCCTGGGCGGCGGGGCCGAAATCAGCTGCATGCAGCAGATTTCGTAGCCCCCCTTTCCCTGTCCCCCCCTTTCCCTTTCCACGGACGCCTCCCCCCGCGGTAGGAGTGGTTGGGGGGTCCGTTGAAGTGGGGGGTGGGTCTGTGCGCGTTGGGTGGCGTGGGAGGCAGGTTGAAATTAGCCGGCCCAAGAGGCCGCCAAGAGGCCAAACAGGCGGTCAGCAGGCCGCCACGAAGGCCCCCAAGAGCCCCAAAAAGGCTCGAGGTTAAGACGTCCCCGAAAGCCGCGGAGAACTCCCAAGAGCTTCCTGTGCACTGCCTCCCGGAGCGCGAAAATGGGCCGGCGGAATGAGCGAAGCGACAACGTAAACGCGAAGGAGGAAGAAAGCCCATGGGCTGCCCACAACCTACGGTTCCGGGGTCGTTCTCGAGTCCGCACTTTCAGGCTTGTGGTGTTTGACCCCCATGGGGGTGGATCGCGCCAGTGACCCTGTAAGCGCGCCCCCGTCGCGTGGGCCAGAAATGAACGGGGCGTTGGGGTGATGGAGAGTGGAGGGAGGGAGGACTGAGGAGAGAAGAGCAGGACGGATGGGATGGATGAATAGGGGAATATCAAGAAGGAGTGACGGAAGGAGGAGCTGAGAGAGGGATGAGTGATTCGGACAGGAGGTAGGGGGGGGGGGGACCGAGAAGGGATGGTGATAGGAGTGGGTATGCAGTAGGGGGGATGTATCGGTGAACGAAGGTAAGGGTATAAACAAATCGATTAATATGTGTGTATGTGTACATGCATCGGCGCCCCGAAAGAGTCGCGATAAGGGAACATGCGATCGTGTTGCATTGGCAGGGGCTGGATCCCGTCCAATGGGAGTTCTGAATCCGCGTGTTTTTACGTCAAAATTTCAGCTCTGGCGGGGTTGGGACAAAGGTCACCTCCCGGCCGCCCGCTCACGTGGGAGTAACGAACGACGCTCCCATCGTCTTGACACTCTCATAAAGCGTCAAGAACTGTTGTAAAAGCCGTAATGAAACATATCAAACGAGATGGAGAGAGGTGACTATACGGAGTAACACGGATGGAGGATCGAAGGAGAACGAGAGGGGGGAGCGGGAGGAGCAGGATTAGGAGGAGGATGAGAAACGGGAGGACAACCTCAGCGGAGTGGCATGACCCGTCTCGATACTCCGCCCGCGACCCTCACTCTCAGGCGCTCCGAAGCGCTCGGAGGACGCTCCCAGGCTCTCGAGCATGGCCAGGGCACCCCGAGCGGAAATTTTCGATGATCTTGGAGGTTCCGTGCAACTCCAAACCAGTGGTGCCTGGAGAGTTGACCCTGGGGTTTCGTGCATCCTGGGAGCCGTACCAACCCGCACCGGCGTTGCCATCAGCACGACCCCCCGGGATGGTCGACCCCGATGGGGGGGTCGCTCCGCACTGGGGGCCGCTCACACGTCTATCGATGCACGTCTACATGCGCATGTATACCCACATGTGCAAATATGTGTGTATATATACAGTTGTATGTGTATGGGTAGGCATGTATGTATGGACATATACATACAGTTATACAGATATATGTCCAACATACGACGCACATTGCAAGAACGACGTATACACCATCCCAATTCACGAACCACATCGGTCGAATGGGACTCGTCAGGTGGACTAGTGGTGAGGCAATTGTACGGGATACCCCGAGGGACAATGACAAGAGGGCAGGGCGGCTGAGAAGAAGTGCGCGGACGAGATCGACTGTTTGGCTTGGACGATGCTGGGCCTGGGGACATGGGTCAGCTGTGTGTGTGTCTGGGCCGGTGAAGGACGAGGAGGTGGGGAGGTGGGCAAGGAGACACACGTATCGATTCGAACATGGAAGCGGTGTGAATCGGCTCGGGACAGCCCTGAAAGGCGCAGCACTGCTAGCAATTGGAGGCCTCGTGGGTGACGCGGTCGGCTGAAGTACTAGGCAGATCGCTTGAAATCCCGCGCCATCCCAGCGTCAACGGGCTACCGAACACATGCAACCAACACCGCGCCCGATTCACCAAGTTCGAACACTCATGGTGATTCAAAACGGCGCGTGCAAAACGGTGTCTTGGATCACCCATGATGGGGATGCTCCAGGCCTCCCAGACGGGGTCGGACTCGATGGGGTCGGAGGAGCGCGCCGCATCGCCGATGCATCGCCGATGCGGCCCGATGTGGAGCCCGAGTTTCTCCACGCCGACGGCGCCGATGCATCGCCGATGCATCCCCGATGCGGCGCGATCCTCGGACCCCATCTACAGGGCAGTTTTTAATACATATGATTTTTAAGAAATATAAGGTTTTTAATTCATGGTCAAATTATGAATGGATTTATGCATGGACTCATCGTTGCTTTTAATGCTAACTCCCTGCATGTTTAATACATGATCCGCACGCGGAGCATGTCTCAAAAACGGCACTGTGCTCGGACCCCACCCCACCTGGGAGGCCTCTACTCCAGATTTCGTAATAAAGGGAGGGAGTCTCATTTCGGGGGGGGGGTCTCTTCCAGGCTATCTTGGAGGGCCTGGGGGGTCTGGGGACGATGTTTCGGAGGGTTCGCCCACGGGGGAGGTCTGAAATGGCTTGTCTTGGAGGGTCCAGACCCCCTCCCTTTTATTACGAAATCTGGAGTATCATGGCGTGGGCCATGATACTTCCCCAGATTTCACGGCGCCTCTTCATGGGCCCGCCAGCGAGCTGGATTGCGTCCTGACTGGGGGAGCAAAAGGTGGCAGAAACATAGAAACTCGGAGGTCCGCGCGGATTTCTCGGGTCCGCGCTGGACCCCCACTCCCTGGCGCGCGGAGCGCGCCAGGGGCGGCGCCGCCAGGGGGAGATCCACCGGCAGAGGGGGAGAGGAGGAGGAGGAGGAGGAGGAGGAGGAGGAGGAGGAGGAGGAGGAGGAGGAGGAGGAGAGGGAGGAGGAGGAGGAGGAGGAGGAGGAGGAGGAGGAGGAGGAGGAGGAGGAGGAGGAGGGAGGAGGAGGAGGAGGAGGAGGAGGAGGAGGAGGAGGGGAGAGGAGGAGGAGGAGGAGGAGGAGGAGGAGGGAGGAGGAGGAGGAGGCGGAGGAGGCGGAGAGCTGCGCGAAGGTCCTCCAGCTGCGACATCTTGAGGCCGCCGCGGGGCGCCTGGCCCCTGCGGTCCTGCCCCTCGTGCGGCTGCTGCCACCTGGCCACGGCAGGGGCCCTCCTCCTGAGCACCCCTCGCCTTCGAGGAGGAGGAGGAGGAGGAGGAAGAGGAGGAGGAGGAGGAGGAGGAGGATGAGGGGGAGGAGGAGGAGGAGGAGGAGGAGGAGGAGGAGGAGGAGGAGGAGGAGGAGGACCTCTCTCTCCCTCCCTTTCCCTTGCATCGCAGCTTGCTCCCGGCTGCTGAAGTGGGGCTGGCCCGGGCCGCCTCGTCAAGAGCCAAAGCACCCCTCGCCTTCCTCCTCCATCTCTCACTCTAAAACGACGCGAAGATCGGGACAAACTCGGATCGGGATAACTCGAAATCTCTGAGAATCGGCGGGTTTGGAGGATGCATTGGGCGCCGCGGCCGCTCCAGAGCGTTCCGGAACGCTCTGAGAGCGCTCCGGGACGCTCTGGATCGATTTATCCCGATCCTAGCCTTGTTTTACACTCCCCTCTTTCCCTTGCATCGCAGCTTGCTCCCGGCTGCTGAAGTGGGGCTGGCCCGGGCCGCCTCGTCAAGAGCCAAAGCCTCACTCCGCCCTCCCCCCCTCCTGCCCCACCCCCTCCCCCTCCTGCTCGGGGTGGAAGCCTCCTCCCCTCCTCCTCCCTCTCCTTCACCTCCACCTTCATCAACACCTCCTCCTCCTCGTCCACCTCCTTCCACCTCCTCCTTCCCTACAAGGCCCGCACAACATACAACAAGCAAGGAGTAAGGAGGCAGGATGGAGAGCTGTGGTTTCAGTAGGTTCTGACAGCTTTCTGGTGGGCTCTGGGGTGGTCCTCAACCTCCCATCCTCCTCGTTTCGGGAGCGGCCAAAAGGGGGGTCTCCAAGAGGGGGGGGTGCAAATCAGAACCGGCGGCATGTGCGCGGCCCAGCGTGGGGGCCAGGGACGCAAGGAGATAAGAAGAGGCGCCATAAAATCTGGGGAAATATCATGGCCCCCGCCATGGTATCCACCCCCCCTAGTCATCACCCCCCTCTTTGCCGTCCCGGATCGTTCCTTAACAGGGGATGTGTCGACCCCTATCCCAGGCTTCGTGGGGTTTCCAAATGGACCAGAGATTTGGGGCCCAACCCTGGGATATACGATGGTGGGGGTGTCCATGCTCGGTAGGGGTGCGTCCGAATGGCCCCCTTGGGGTGTATCCCAGGGTTTTCCCATTTTTCTGAGCGGCGAAACTTTTCGGGCGAAACTCGGGGATTGGGGGAGAAACATCGCCCGCGACCTCACTCCTCGCTGCCCCTCTGAATGGCGGCGAGCCCGGGGGGGGGGGAAACCAGACGGGCCGGGCCTTCTGAGCAGGCCCGGCAGGCCCGTGGCCTCAGGCCTCCCGAGAAGTCTTCGGAGCCTCCCGCGAAGACGCAGAAGACGATGAGGAGGAGGAGAAGAAGGGGGAGGAGGAGGAGGAGGAGGAGGAGGAGGAGGAGGAGGAGGAGGAGGGAGGAGGGAGAGGAGGGGAGGAGGAGGAGGAGGGAGGAGGAGGGGGAGGAGGGGGAGGAGGGGGAGGAGGGGGGAGGAGGAGGAGGAGGAGGAGGGGGAGGGGGGAGGAGGAGGAGGAGGAGGAGGAGGAGGAGGAGGAGGAGGAGAGAGGAGGAGGAGGAGAGGACAAGGGCTGACGGGCTTCTGCGCAGCCCCGCCGACGTCTGGGCAGGGCCCGCTCCTGCGCTGCCCCCAAGGGCGCGCCACAGCTCCGGCCTGCCCTCTCCCCTGCCCGAATTATCCGGGGTAACTCGGGTCCGGGGTAACTCGGGTTTGGGTTCCCGAAAAACGAACCCGAGTGAACCCTGACCCGAGTTACCCCTGATGATTCGGGGCTCTGGGCGCCCGAAATATCCGGGGTAACTCGGGTCCGGGATAACTCGGGTTCGGACTCCCGAAAAACAAACCCGAGTTAGCCCTGACCCGAGTTACCCCTGATGATTCGGGGTTCTGACCATTCTCGGTACTCCTCGCCCTCCCCTCCTGATCCCTCGGCCTCCTCCTACAGTCAAAAATCATAACAAGGACGCGCGGTAAGGACGCAAGACCCTTGGAAACCGAAACTGGGATTTTTGGGGCGGCGGACGACGAAAAACCCAAGGACGCAAGAGCAAGGAAGAGCAAGGACGCAAGGGTACCCTGAGCAAAGTAGCGCGTCCTCATTAGGGTTTTTGACTGTACTCATTCCTCCGCCTAGTCCCTTCCTCATCCCTGCCTCGTCAAAGACGCGTCGTCTGGATTTCGCTCGATATCGTGATGGCGTCGGAGGGTGCCATGATGATCTCTGGTATCCCTTTCGTCTGCTTTCGCAGGACGTTGGTGCGTTTCGAGTGTATGTTGCGCTGGTGTCTTGCGGGGGCCCGAGCATGCTCATCGCAGCCGTACCCGACGTGCGGCTTCCACAAGGAGGACTCCGTAAATGTCGGCGATAAGGAACACTGCCACTTTCTAGCTGTTCAAACTGTGCCCACCACGATTTGGGGTTGCCGTAGCGGTGAAGTGACCACACCGCGCCGGGGGATTCAAAGGCGATCTGGTGTGAGCGGACGCTTTGGGGACGTTGTCGCTTTCCGATGGCGACAAGGGTCTCCGAGGTGCCGCAAACGTCGGGTGGCGGACCGCCTGGTCACTGAAGATCGGCGCTGCGAATCACCGCTGCTGTTGCGTCTCGACGATCCTGAGTCGTGCCAAACCAACATTATTGGGACTGCGAGGAGGAGGAGGAGAAGGAGGAGGAGGAGGAGGAGGAGGGGAGCTCTGAATCGATAATAAATCGCAAAATCGCTGAGCTCTGCGCGCTGCTTCAGCAGCTTGACCTCGCTCGAGAACGCAGGAGGCCTGTCGAGCGCCGCCCGCGCGGCCCCATACTGAGCGGTCCCCCTCAAGTCGGCGCGCAGCCTGGGAGGGGGATGCCCAGCTTCGGGGACCAACCTCAAACAACCGCACCCTCACGGACAAACCTGATGGGACGAGCGGGAGCCCTCTCGGCCCCTTGCTCGGAGAGAGGAGGAGGAGGTGCTAGGTTGTCCAGGGTGCGAATTATCACCTTTGGCCTTTCCTTTCCCCCCCCCCCCCCGACCCGTACGACGACTACGACCCCACCCCTTCCCTCTAGTCGGCTCAGCTCGGGGGTGAACCATTACAGGGACGAGGGGGAGGGCGGGGTTGCTGTAGGTGGTAACCTCAACCTCTTGCTGAAGCACCTCCTTCGAAACCTCGCCTCGCTGAATTAGGTTTTGCAACCGAGCAGGACCTGCTAGATTATGCTGCGCTGACTGAGACAGGCGGCGGCGGGCGACAGCCCCAGGCACAGGTGTTGCTACTGCGGGTCCGCTCCTCAACATACCCAAGCCAGAACTGGCCGCCGATGTCGAAAAAGACTGTGGCGGCTCAAGAGGCTCGTCCGTGACCAACTCAGGAACATCTTGGTACGACCACGGTAAAACACTATTGTTACCAGCCACAGTGAGTAAGCGCCGAACCTTCTCCTCGAAAGTCACTTGATCTGAGCTCCGAGCCACCTCTCCGTCGGGCCGCGCGGTGCTGGGCCTGGAATCTGCTCCGTCCGCTCGACGTCGCGAAGGTAGTCCTGCATGATCGGCCACGACGCCCTCGCCGCCTGACAGTCCTGCACATTCAAGTTGAGCGTCAGTACTCCCTTGCGGTCCATCTGAGCGTCCACTCCATCCTTGGCTGCACGTGCCTTCTTGCACCTGCAATTGAGCGCCGGGAGGCCGAGCTGCTGCGGCGTCTGCTTGTCCACGACCGACGTCCAGAACTCCGAGAACGCTTTGTGGCCCTGCTCGTTGGGGTGGCTTCCTCCTTGTGCGCACTTTCCGATAGCCCGCCTGATTATGAGTACGAACAGCGCGACGTGTGGCGCGCCTCTTGCCTTCCAGTCGATCACCTCGCCGCTGTCCTGCTTTGCCTTGAGCTCCTTGCTCGTGGCGTCGTAGTTTTTGTTGCCCTCGATGCAGGCCTGGCCCAGAGAGCCCGCTCCTTCGTCCACGAAATAGTTCCGATAAGCGTTCGCCTCCAGCATCGCCGTGCGCCTCTCCAGTCCGACCACGAGCCTCGCCATGCCCTGGGACATCTGCTCCATATGCGCCGTCGTGTCCTTCTTGGCTGCCTTGCGCTTGGGCTCCGCCGACCCTGGGGCACCTGTGCGCGCCGTCTGCGCCATCCAAGAGGGCATGGGCGGCAGCGACATCACAAGGTGGAAATTGAGCACGGGGCTTAACAACTCGAGGTCTGAAAAGGCTTGACCCGTAATGGCAGATGCGACTGTAAATGTAGGCGAAGCATCTCGTAGCTGGCCCCATCGAACTCGCAAATCGGGCACCTGTAACTGTCTGGCTCGATGAAGGGTGTGTTAGACGAGGCCCCGCGAGGATCACAACAGCCCCTTAGGAGAGCGCTCTGCAAGTGCCTGCTAGCTGCGACCTGAGTGGCGTACGTTCTGTTGCACGCTATGCGCGCGTTCGACGGAGTAAGTACGTGTGCAGTATTAAGTACTCGATGCCTATGCCGTAGGTGTTCTGTGAGTGCTCTCCTCGTCTCGAACCTGGCCCCGCATTCGACTCCCTCTGTAAGCGCGTGCAGACGAAGGGCTTCTCGACGGGCCCGTCCTCCTCGCCCTCCACCTCCTCGGCCTCCTCCTCGAGTCCTGGCGGAGCTATCTGGCACGAGAAAACCGATGCGCGATACTCAGAAAAGTCGAGGTTGACGAATTCGCGAATCATATCCTCATCGTCGAGTAGCTTGCAGGGAGAATGAGCCAGGGCAAGCAGCAGTTCTTCGTGATCATGAATAGCAGCAGCAGCAGTCTGGAGGTCCGATCGCATCTGATAGAGCCAGGGGGGCGCGTACTGGGAAAGGCCTAAGTCGACCGAGCAGGGGTCCCTATCTTCCGATTCGAAGTCGAGGAGCGAGAAGAGAACGGCCCAGATCTGCTTGTTTACCTGCGGACGAAGTGCCCACGCCTGATACCAGGCCAGTCGACGAGTGCGCAACTCCACTGAACAAGGAGCCACACGCCAGAAGGCAAGAACTTGTGAATTCGAAAGCCTCTGCATATGTTGGGGCCCCTGCCACGTCGCCGAGCCGCCCATAGCGATCCGTCCTAACTTGGCGATGTGAGCGTCCATACAAGAGTATTGGTGGTCGCTCAGGCAGAAGCACTCCATGGCTGACAGCATCGTGTTCTGGACCAGCGAGAGAAAAAGAGCACGCTTCCATCTCCGCGGTATTCGCGGCGACCAGACGCCTCCAAGTCCGTAGAAAGCTGAGTTCGTGGCAGAGAAGCGGCGCTCCAGCTCGTGAGATGTGGTCTGAGAAGGGGATACCACTGGCCCAAGATAACGCGCAACGTCCACAACCGTGCCAGCCACGCGGCCTGGTTTACCCATCCACTGCTTGCAAGCCGAGGCCTCGGCCCCAGAGAAGAAGAAACTGGTGACCTGCTTGTCTCTGTTCTGCTTCATGCCGTCCAGCGCCAAAGCTGCGTCCAGAACGTCATCGGCTTTCTTGAGCTCCGCACTGACCTCATGCACGGTGCTGCCGACCTTGAAAAGTAATGTTCGGTGAAGATCGTCGGCGTACGAGCAATGTGAGACGTCAACTTCATCATCGTCTGGTAGAGCTCCACTAAGCCGGTGCGTTCCCGATTTAGACTTCATCGCCGCCGACCAGTACTCCGTGGGCCTCGCAAAAGAGCCAAGGAATGCACTGACAATGGACGGGTCCCCCATCAAGCCGCCAACGTGTGGCTCCATGTAGAAGGTCCCCTCGTCTCCCTGCATTTCGATAACTCCATCTCGATAGTGTCGCTTGCAAAGGTCCCAGTCTTCTGGCTTAGCACAGTCCTCCACCGTCGAGTCGAAAGTTGCCCAGGATACGCTGCCAAATTCATTAGATAAATCTTTCATCGTATTGGCGAAGCTCACCTGCGACTGTCGCAATCTCCAAGAAAGGCACTGAGTAACCAATATTGCTCCTTCGCGTCGCTTATGCTTGGCGAAGCCGTAGGCCTGCGGTGGCGCCCGAACATTGAGACGTTTGGCAAAAAAAACCCTTGCTAACAGCAGGAAGCGCGTGGATAACTCGCTTACCCATAGCTCCAGGCTTCGCGTTGCCCTTCGAATGTCCGTGACCCAAGCTGCGGGGCCAGTACAGTGGGGCAAGATCGGTACGTCGTATCGTAGCGAGCCCAAGCAGGACCATCTCCTTGAAGGCGTCCATGTTGACCTCCCCCGTCTCGCAGCCAAGCCCGAGGTGCTCCCCTCTGGTAGCCTTGTCCGCCGAGAAGCACAAATCCCAAAGCTCAGCAGGTGTAGTTTCCACAGGTACCGCTCGTCGCTTAGTAGTCTTACGGAAGTAAGGGATGAGGCCAGCGTAATCTTCTGCCGCTCGATAGGTTCGCTCACTGACCTCCCAAGCCTGCACCTGTGGAGCCGGGCGCGAATCACGTTGTTGTCGCCACTCGCTCCAGTCAACTTCCGTGGCCAGCATGCCACCAGAGCCGCCTTCCAGCTGCCAGACGTCTAGCCAGGCCATCTTACTAAGTGTAGTGATGCCCAGTCTCCGTCCATCTCTGTGTCGAGCGCCGAACCGACATCGAGCAGCTTGGCGAGAGAGTCGGGCAGCTTCATGCATACGTCGACCTCGCCATGCTTCGCGTACTTGTTCCAAAAGAAGATCTTTGGACAGCAACACTGATCGCTTACGTTGTCGCTGAAGCTGGCGGGAAAGATCTTTCAGTTGCTGCTCTATCTGGCTCAGTCGGTCACTCTCGTGGATGTGTCCTGGCACTGAGTTTTGTGGACCCGAGGCCTCGCCCGAGGCAGCCCGAGACGCGGGCAGGCGAGGCGAGCACGGCTCGCCGAGGCACATCCGAGACCCCTCTCCCATCGCCGCCCTGGCCTCACGAGGCCCTGCGTTCTGATCGCCAGTGGGGGGTGCGTTCTGATCGCCGATGGCATTTGGCCTGCATCTGATGTTAGGTCCAAGTTCCAGCGAGACAGCAGCAGGCCCCGTAGTCGCACAGGTAGGAGGCGAAGAACAACCGCCGACATCTGCTCGTGATCGTCGAAGTGCAGCGCGTGCTTCCAGTAGCCGTCGGCGCTCCGCACAATCTTCAGGTCGAGGTGCGCGGGGTGGCTGCATGAAATGCCCGCCGTCGTCATGATGGTCTCCAGCGCCTCCCAAAGGGCGTCGGGCGAATTCTGGTCGGCCAGAGATCGCAGATGCTCTTCATTATCACTCAGCTGTTGTGTAACTTCTCGTGAAAACTCTGGCTTCTTCTCGCCCCTCAGGATGGCCGCCGTCATCGCATCTCCGCTAAGCCGCGGCGGCGGCGCGGGTGGCAATGCCCCCGCGTCCTTCTCGTAGCTGAGTTCGAGCAGGACGGGGATATGATCCCGAGGAGGAATGCCTCTGATCGGCTGGAGCGTGTCGCCCAAGTCGCGCACGATGTGACTGCGTCGAAGGCGCTCAAGCCACCCCCGAGGGAGAAACCAATAGTCAATCATACTGCCCGTAGACGGGTTGCCAGAAGACCAGTACGTGTGCGCAAAGGAGCTGTAGGAGGTCGCCGAAATCAACTTCTGCTCAACCAATAGGTGTCGCACAGATTCCCCAGCTCCGTTACGTCGTCGTTCACGAGAGCGAGTGGGTCCGAGCGCCCCGCACGGAGGCTCAGTCCAGACTCCAGCCTTCACCTGCGCTCCGATGCCGCCGTTAACATCCGAATAGAACAGCGGCAGGGTGCGACACGGAAGAGCCATCAACACCGATCGCCACCAGCGTGTGAGTGCCTTCACCGTCTCGTGATAAACTCCATTCTCCTGGTGCGAGCGTGGTTGGGGCGGGTAATACAATACACCGTAGGTTATGTCGATCGCGCCCTTCTGGATGCGCACTGCCAAGCCCCTGCCCGCCAGCTGCCGAGGGGGGAACCACGTCTGTCGTATGTGTCGATCATTGTAGCCAGCTCTCAGGATCACCGCACAGCCCGTCGCCGCAGTCGTAAGTGGCCCAGGTTGGTGAACCGCTTCCAATATCGTGCGGCCTGCCACTCGACTCCGCAGAACGCCCTCGGCCTTGCGGCACACCGTCTGTGTACCACAGAGCAGCACCGCGTCGTAGTTCGTCGTGTGATGTAAAATCTCCTGCGTTCTCAATCCGCTCGCCCACATGGGATTGTATCCAATCACTCTGAGCGCAGTGCCCGCAGTTGGCGCCATCTGCGGCGACTGACGGGCGCCGAGGCCGTCGCAAAGGCAACGGGCTGTGCGGCGCGGCGGTGTTGAGAGCCCCCCCCCCATCCTGGCAAAATGCTCGGGCAAGGGGGCTAGGAGGAGGGGGAGGAGGAGGAGGAGGTAACGTTTGAGCAGGGACCGACCGTCCCAGCATTCCTATAGTCCTACCACGAAATGTTCTCAGAACCCAACAATGTTCCAAAAACAAGAACAACGTTCTTAGAACATAAACCCGACGTGATAAAACAAAACGATCCCAGCCAGAAATGTCCTAAGACCATTTCGTGGAAACCACGAAAAGATTCTCAGAACATTGCTTGGTAGGGCTATAGGCGAGCCAGGACGCCTCGCCACTGCTGGAAGCGTTGCCCCACGGCCTGTCCCCCCCGCGCCCCGGCGCCGCTTCTCGGCCGCCAGGAAAAGCCCCCGTGGCCTCTCCGCTCCTCCCGCCGTCCTGCCTCCTCCTCCGCCTCCTCCTCCTCCTCCTCCTTCTCCTCCTCCCTACTCCTCCTCCTCCTCATCACCCCCCTCCTCCTCCTTTTCCTCCTCCTCCCCTCCTCCTCTCCTCCTCTCGCCTCCCCCTCCTCCTCATCATCACCCTCCTCCCTCCCCCTCCTCCTCCTCCTCCTCTCCTCCCTCCCCTCTCCCTCCTCCTCCTCCTCCCCCCTCCTCCTCCTCCTCCTCCTCCTCCTCCGCCTCCTCCTCCTCCGCCTCCTTGGGCAGCCAGGCAGGGACAGCTGCCACGGTGGCCTCGCGCAGTGGTGCGGAAGGCGCGCCCAGGCCCGATCCGGGGCAGGGCATGGCGGCACCGCCAGACACCGCGCCCAGAGCAAACGCCGTCCTGTGGTCGGGCCCGGCCCGCTCGGCAGCGAGCGAGCCTGCCCCGAGCTGCAGACAAGCCGTTTTTTGTTTGTTGCTGTTGTTGTTGCTGTTGCTGTTGTTGCTGTTGTTGTTGTTGTTGTTGGTGTTGTTGTTGTTGCTGTTGTTGCTGTTGTTGTTGTTGTTGTTGTTGTTGTTGTTGTTGTTGTTGTTGTTGTTGTTTTGTGTATATATATATATATATGTACACACACATATATGTATATATACATGTATATGAGTTGGCGACACATGCGCAAAGAAACGGGAACACAGAGCGATAGAGAGAGAGAGAGGAGACATCAGGGAAGACCACGGCAGGGAAGACCGCGTGAGGTACGAACCGCCTCTCGGCCCCCGGAGCGCCGGAGCGCCCGTCCTGTTGTGAGACCGTCCGATGGCGTCTTTGGGAGCCCCGAGCTGCAGCCAGGCTGTCATCACAAGGAAGACTACAATCAAAACCCTAATAATCGGGGAGACGTAAGACCCGGGTACGGGGGACTCGGAAATCCCCGACGAGATCGTCAAAAAAATGACGAGGCCGAGCCTGCATTTTGACGAGGCCTCCCGCTGCAGACATCCCACGAAACTCCCCCTCGTCAAAATCCGAGGCGCGGTCGTCAAAAAACGATGGCGAACCCGAGTCCCAGCAAACCCGGGTCTTACGCTCCCCCGAAATAAGGACGCGCGGTAAGGACGCAAGACCCTTGGAAGCCGAAGCTGGGATTTTTGGGGCGGCGGACGGCGAAATCCCCAAGGACGCAAGAGCAAGGACGAGCAAGAACGCAAGGGTACCCTGAGCAAGTCGCGCGTCCTCATTCGGGTTTTTTGACTGTGCGTAAGGAACGAACCCCCTCTCGGCCCCTAAGAGCGCCCGGGCGCCCGAGATGAGCCAGAGAGGAACAACCACGGAAGGACCCACCTACGTACGGTGCAGCGAGGAGTCCCTCCCGAATCCGAGCGCCGTTCCTTCTATTCCAGCGTCTTTTGACTGTGCGTCGGACGGCATGTTGCCGCCTGCTACATCTCTGGGCCACACTTGGGCCACGGATGCTCTCCACGACGGGGGCACGGCCGAGGACCAAGCCCCCCCCTGGCTTGCCGCCTGACACTTCCGGGCCCCTCGGGTAGCGGGCGTTCCGCAACATTGGGCGCCCGAATTATCCGGGGTAATTCGGGTCCAGGGTAACTCGGGTTCGGATTTCCGAAAAACGAACCCGAGTTAGCCCTGACCCGAGTTACCCCTGATGATTCGGGGCTGTGACAACAGGGGCACGGCGGCCGAGAACCCGCCCCCCCGCGGTCGGACGGCAAAAAAGCGTCAGGGTGACGCCCTGCCCTGCACCGCGCTCCGCTGCTCCTCCTCCCTAAACTTTCTCTCCACGCCCGCCCCGCCCCTCTTCTCCCACCAACCTCCCCGCTGCTCCCGCCCGCGTTTGGCTCGCCCTCCCCATCTCCTTCCCGGCACCTCCGAGCCCTCCGCATCTCCCGTGTCCCCCGTCTGCCTCTAGCCCCTCTGCCTCCGCTTGGTTTCTTTCTTCAAGCACTCCTGCCCTTCCTCCTTTCCCTTGCTTCTCACCATCCCCCTGTTCAGTCATATGCAGAGATGGAGGGCACATCGTGATCAAAACGTGGGTCTCGCCCAATCGCCGCGCACATGTGTCTTCACGGGCTCTAGACGGTGCGCGGATGCGGCACGGCTTCTCCTCACGATTGGGGTCTCGCTTGGGGCGTCCTCTTATCCTGATGCCAACTGCTGTGCGTGTTGCCGTACCTGCGCGGGCGCAAGGCGGCTCCTTTGTCAGAAGGGGCACCTGCCCGACAACTGCCTGACCTGCATCGCCTTGCCACTCCTGACCGTTTTCGACCCAGGGCGCCCTGGCGGCAAGCAGGGTGTTTCTTGGCATGGGCCTCCACTGTAAACAGAAACTTTCGACGGTCCGCGCGGATTTCTTGGATTTGCGCCGGGCCCCCACTCCCTGGCGCGCGGAGCGCGCCAGGGGCGGCGCCGGGGGCGCCTCCAAGGGGGCTCAGCGCGGATCGAAGAGATCCGCGCGGAGCGCCACACATTCATGTTCATGTGTTTTTGTTCTTCTTCGAATGGGGAGCCGTAGCTGCTGCCAGGGCTCGAGTTAAAGTGGTTTTCCGTTTTCGTTTTGTTTTCGTAATCCCTAG